GGGAGAAGGATAGAGAGATAGAAACATCGATGAGAGATGAACATCATTGATTGGCTGCCTCCTGCACGGCCCCAACTGGGGATTGAGCCCTCAACCTGGGCATGTGCCCTGACCGGGAATCAAACCAGTGACCTCTTGGTTCCTGGGTCGATGCTGAGCCATACTAGCCAGGCAAGGACTTTATCCTAGAGAAGACACATGGATGGGAAGAGCCCTGCCCTCCCACCCTCCTGCGGTGGCTCTGCAGGCAATCCGACCAGCCGTAAGCTGTGTGTGCTTTGGGGTTTTGCCAAGGGAACAGGTACTCAGAGTCGATCCCTGAAAAGCCCATAGTGTAGGGGTCTCCGTCAGGCGGCCTGTGAGCTGACATCTGCTGGTAGAGTTCTGTTAGGTCTGCGCACATTTCTGTTCGTTTTAGTCCAGTTGGTTAACTGGACCCTTCAAATGACTAGAGTTTCATAGGCATCTGACTTTTAGGTGAAAGAGACAGGTCGCAGAGAGCACAGGCCACAGGCAAGTATTTTAAAGACCCGCGTTGACCTACCCCAGGAACAGTGCCCCGCGGCCCAGACTCCGGCTCTCCTGCCGCCCTCCCACGCCTCAGAGCCACCACCTGCCCCGTGGTCTGGTCTCTCCTCCTGGTTGGACTGTAAATTCTTTGAGGGCAAGGAACTGTATTTTATGCCACGTTTAATTCCACGCGGTAGTTGGCACGGATCTTCACATATCTTAGGGTGTGAGCGATTTGGCAGTGGATTAGAAAGTGCCGCCCGGCATCATTAGTGTCGTGGTGTGGTTAGACCAGTTGAAGCCATTCTCCTCGGTTTGTTCGGCGCCCTGAAGCCTCGTGGGTTTGGGTTTGCATCGCTGTCCGCCCAGTGCCTGGCAGTGTGAACTTGGACACGCACTTCACTCTCAGTCTAACCTGCAGGGCTGTTGTAAGAACCAGTGATTAAATATTTAAAGTGTCTGACAGCTGCTGCTGCTGCTATGTCACTTGTCTTGCAAGCGGAAGTTTCCTGGCTTATAGCTTGTTATGCCACAGTTGAGAGCGCTTGTCTTTTCTGGAACTGCATTTCCATTTGGAAGTAGATAGCTCCTAGTACTTAAGGCTGGCTTCAGTGAAGGGGTGCTGTTTGGCCTGAATCTTGAAAGACGAGTAGATGCTTAAAAAGCAGAAAAGGATGGAAAGGCATTTCAGACAGAAGGAACAGCGTGTGCGGAGACCCAGGGGCGTGAAGGAGGGTGGCAGGTGGAAGAAGCTGATGTTGGTTGAATGAGGGATGTGCCCCGCGGGCAGTGGGCTGACACAGGGTAAGGACATGGGCAGGAGCCAGGTCTCGAAAGGTGTTGCGTGAGACGCTAGATTTGAGCTGTTCGTAACAGTCAGATTGGCATTTTAGCAAGTTTCTCCTGTTCCTCATTAGTTTCCTGTAAGTTTTCAATCAGCTTCTGAACAACAAATGTTTAAATTGGGTGAATGAACTTTGAGCCAGAGATAGGGGATAGGAGTGGACCGTTTTCCCAGCAGGTGACTTCTTAACTATTCTTAGAGAAACATCTCACTTTAGTCATGGGCAGACTCGGGTGACGGGCAGCAGACGGTCTCTGGCCGCCACTCTCCACTGTCCCCCCTAAAGGTGCCACGTACTGAGATGCCGTTGGTCCCACGTTTTCTTTTGGCCTTGTGGTTTCCTCGGTAGGTGAGTGTAATACCTGTGGACGTCACCTGCACAAATTCATGCTAGTCGTCGGTGTGCTCAGGTGACACTGGCAGAGGTCCCAGCAGCCCTGTCGTGTGGGAGCAGGGCTCGGCGAATATGGTGATGCTCTCCCTGTCCTGTTGTTGGTGTTGTCTTTGCCTGTGAATGAGCTCGGGGTTGGGGACATGGAGATGAGGAGCAGTCTCTGAGGCAGAGCCTCTGTCTCCGCCTTCACTTGTGCGTTCGTATCACAGGGGGAGGCTCGTTGAGGCGTCCTGCCCATTGTACTGGGAACAGCCGACGGCGGCTGAGCCTTCGCTTCTCCCCACCCGTGCTTTTGGGCTCCTTTCCCTGCCAGTCTCTCTCTCCATCAGCGGGGCTCAGCAGTTCATCTATTGTTCTTCCTGTCTGGCTCCCTCAAATCCAGCCCACACCTCTTCACCTCCACATCCTCAGTCAAGTGCGTGCAAGCTGTTATTTCATGTTAATTGGGAGTTCTCCTTCCAGCCAAGAACCTTGCTCGAAACTGTTCCCTAAGCTGAGGTGTGGCAGTGGGCTCTGGCATTTGGGCATCATTAACGGGCCCGTGGGCACTGCTCTCGGAGCCACAGCACCGCCTGTGCGAGGACACCGTCCCCACCAGCTGGAGGCCCTCCCTGGGGCAGGCACCCTCCGAGCCCGGCCGAGCCCGAGGAAGTCGGGTGGCTCCCAGAGAACATTGCTCGGCAACCAGCCCGCATCCAGGCGGGCCTTGGCCTCTGGTAGGTCTCCACCAGAAACTGACAGGTGACCCTTGGTAGGTCTCCACCAGAAACTGACAGGTGACCCTTGACCCAGTTTGGTGGGAGGTTCTGGTGGAAACGTTCCACCACCTCCCGGGCTCACTGAAGACATCAGCAGGCGTCAGCATCTGGCCCCTTAAAGCCCCTCCACACCCCCGAGTGGCTGTCACTCCTGCAGGTGGGCCTGGACAGGCCTCAGGGACTTTCCTCTTCCTGAGAAGTTTTTGAGCAGAAACCGAGTCCTGGCCTCCTGTCTGGGCTCCTCTCTATGCCCACCTGCTTGCAGCTGAGAGACCGCATCCCTCGCACTACCTGGCTGCCGTTAATCATCCGGCTCCTGAAAGCCCGGGCTTGAGGAAGCTGGCCCCTGACTCCCCAGAAGCCCGCATGTCCCCTGGGGCACCCTGCGTTCCATTCAGAGGGCGTGGTTGGCGCCAGCTCACCCCTGAGCTTGGGCAGTGACGGTTAGGACACCCTCGTTCTGTCTCGGGACCCCGGAGGAAAAAGAGACTTTCCTCCTCCAAAGGGCCTTCAAGCGAGGCCGTCACGCTGCGGGTGGCTGAGGGATTCTCCGATGTCTAACTTAAACCACTAGAAACATGTTTGTTTATATCCTGGTTTATAGAGAAAGTAGTCGGTGAGCAAATGCTGATTTCAGGCCCATTGACCTCCGAGCACAGCTCTAGGCGCCATGGAGGTGAGGCCCGAGACAGGGATTGGGGTTCTGTTACCGAAGGGAGAGAACCACCAGCCACTGAGAAGGGGTTTTACAAAGATGGCATTGACATTGTTCTTAAAGGGCCAAACACAGGGCCAGGCGCACAAAGAGAGGAGCTCCTTCCTCTCTCCTCCTCCTCCTCCTCCTCCTCCTCCTTAATAACAAGCACCAGCTAATCTGGTCCTTACTGGGTAGAGACTATGAAGGGGTAAAAGTGGTATTAGTTAAAGACTTATTTGATGAGGTCGGGTTTTAGGTAAATTTAGGAAGAATGAAGAGATATGTGGATGAGTAGAGATTAAGATTGAGAACATGGCGTATATATTCATAGAATTATGACAGAACCATAGCCTTGGACCAGTGAACTCTATTAGCAGGAGTAAAGGGTCCATCGGAGGGATGCTCAGACCGGGATGTGCCATAGGCGTGGCCAGTGGGCAGAATGCCTTAAAGGACTCAGTGAGGGATTTGACTTATTACAGACAGTAAGGAATCACTGTAGTTTCTTGAGCTGGGAATGAAAATTATTTTTGGAGATTTTTTAAAATCCTCATCCGGGGATATTTTTCCAATGATTTTTAGAGAGAGTAGAAGGGAGGGAGGAGGGTGAGAGGGAGAGAAAGAGAGAGAGAAAGATCAATATGAGAGAGACACACACTGATTGGTTGCCTTTGGCACGTGCCCCAACCCAGGCCAGGGATCAAGCCTGCAACCAAGTTACGTGCCCTTGACTGGGAATCAAACCGTGACCCTTTGATCTGAGGGCCAATGCTCTAACCCAGGGGTGGGAAACCTTTTCTCTGCCAAGGGCCATTTGGGTATTTATAACATCATTCATGGGTCATACACAACTATCAACTTAAAATTAGCCTGCTATATTGGGTCAAACATTTCATTAACTCACCCCTAATGCCTTGGCAGGGCCAGACCAAATGATTTCTAGGGCCTTGTACGTCCCCACCCCTGTAACCACTGAGCAAAACCAGGGCTGGAGGTCTTTATAATACAGTTTCTTGGAGCTGTGCAGGTCAAGGGGTAGGAAGACCATGAAGAGGTGCGGGGCTCATGCTGGGGCTTTCGCAGGTCCTTGATCGTGATGAGCGCAGGACCAAGAGAGCTGATGTGGACAGCGAGACCTAAGTAAATTTCTGGGTGGGAGAATGCTGAGGGTCCCAGAAAGAGAGAAGGGTCTAAGCTCAGCGCTCAGAAGGTCTGATGGAGGTGAAGCCATTGGTGATAACAAAAGTAGGGAAGAGACCGCGGTTATGGAGGGAGGTGGTCAAGTCCTGGCTGCTAAATAGCAGGCTGGGAGGACAGAGAGAGGAGGGGTCGCCCTTCCTCGCGGAGCTTCAGCTCCAGCTTTTCGAAGCTCATGAGATCTGTCCACCTTCACTTGGTGAGGATCGCTGTGGAAGGTTAATTACAGATATTTACATCAATTGAGTCACATCTTCTGTGTCATTTTGTAGACAAATCAAGATTAGCTTTCAATGAATTTTTGCAGTTTTGCAGGAGAATTGGTTTTGTTCTGAAAAAGCATGCTCTTAATGAATCCCTGTGTCCTGAATAAAATGAGCCACTCCGATGAATTTCGCCTAACGACACACGGTCATTGCCTGCACTGGCCTCAGGTGCGGCTCAGACGAAGCCCCGTGCTGAGCCGGGAGCTCTGGAGCCCTTGTTGGGGTGAGGCCTTTGGACGCCCATTCTGGAGTGAGTGCAGTCGCTCCTGAGTGCGAACCAGGCCACTCCCTCGGGTGTCAGCTGTGTCCTCTTCTCCCTGTCTCCCCACCACAGACTGCTGTTCTCCAAGGTGAAGTTGGAGTCACTGTGCCGGGGCCCGGATGAGGCGCTGCTCACGTGCAAGCACATGCTACAGATATGGAAATCCTGCTACAACCTAACCAACCCCAGGTAAGGGGCCAGCGGGGCCTGCTTCGTGTGGGGCTCGCGTGGGTCCCTGCCTCTCAGTGCCCTCTGATTGGCAGTGCCCTCCAGGTCCCCACACAGCAGATGACAGCGGGGAGCCTCCCACGCTCTCTCTTTAAGGGGATTTTCTCCTGGTGGCTGGTGAAGCCATAGGTCATGGGTTTCTTTTGCTTTTGCTGCCATAGTGGCCACTCGGCTCAGCTCACAATGGATGACCATCTGATGATTTATGGGTAGGCTAGTCGGTTATGTTCCAGATCGGATTCTTACAGGAATATTTAAAAGACCTGCATAGACAAGAGGCCACATCCTTCTAAGGAGAGGAGAAATTGCTATGGGCGTAGTAAAGTGCTATTTTCAAAAAGTTAAAATCATGACTCAAATAGAAATTAAGCATGTTTCAAAGATTTTATTTACCTCATTAGCTAAAGAGGGAATCAGTAAAATGGTAAGGCTTGTTCAAAGAAGACTTTAAAAATAGATACGCTGAAACAAATTTGCAAATACATGCAAAAACACTGTCCTGTAGGACAATGAAATATGTTGTTTGGGATTATCTTTTGTGCAAGGTGGAAATCGATTGTATCTGGACCAGGCGTGGTCAGCAGAGTCACTCCTAGGGCCCCACCCTGGGGGCGTGCACTGTCCACCCCCGGCATGTGCTGAAAGATACCCCATAACCTGCTGTGGCCATGTTCAAGCCTGGGCAGTTCTTTCTGCTGCATGTCTAGGTTACTGATGCACCTGCCCTATCAGGCAAGTAATGTAACAAACAGGGATGTGACGATTCCAGTGAATTCAAACAACTGCTCCTACATTCAGAGTGTTTTTCAAGCTCGTAGGTAGATGTATGGCCAGCTCACATTATGCTCTTAAAAGTCGGGAGCCTAAAATGTGTGACTCAGATGGTACATGTGTACTAAGGGTGTGGCTTGCTCAGTCTGGCCCCCCAGGAGGCCGCCACATGGCAGTGGCCGTGGCCCGTGGCAGTGGCCGTGGCCCCCAGCTGCTGGCCTGGGGAGAGGAAAGGTGGGGTGGGCAGCAGGGAGCAGCAGAGTGAGTGTAGGTGGGGCTCCAGGTGAGATTCTGTTTCGCAAAAGTTTCTGCAGTTAAGAAACATGTCATGATCAGGGCCCTGCTAAGGGCATGGGTCCTTGGGAACTGACATTAACAGACGGGACCGCAGGCCCCATGGGGGTGCAGCAGGAGGGGGCTCATGCTGGAAAGCCACGCAGTCCCTTGCAGAGCTGGGGGGCAGGACTTAGACAAGAGTTCCCTTCGTAACCATAAATCCTCCTCTTGATGAGAAGCCTATCTTTCCTTTTGTGGGTATGTTCTGAAAATAAAGATCATTTTAATTTTTTAAAAATTCTCCTTCTCTAAGTCTTTAAGCAGAAATAGAAAATGCTCATATTTATGCTCCCTACAGCCCCTCCCTGCTGGCCTATCAGCAGCAGCAGGTTTGGGGAGACTCCGCCACAAGCCCAGCGAGCAGGAGACCCTCCCCAGGCCGCTGCTTCCTTCTGCGCCCGAGCACCGTCCTCTGCCTGTGCCCCCTTTAGAAATGAGAAAATAAATCCACCCGCGTGTGCACTGCCAGTTTCCCCTAGTTTCTCCACACTTCTCCCACCTCCCCACATTTCCTCCCACTTAGCAACCAAGAATATTGAATGTGGAGAGAAAAAAATAGCAGAATTGGAAAGCTTTTTAAAAATACTTAACCAAATGCCTGGGCTGTGTCCCTACTTCCTCTGTTTCCTAAAGGGTCTTTGAGGGCTGGAGCTGGAGGAACCCTGGCTTCAGGCGCAGCCGGGATGGAGTTGGGGGTGGGTAGAGGGGGGCCCATCACAGAACTGCACCCTCCAGATACTCCTCCCTCCAGCTACTGCTCTCTCCAGCTACTCCTCTAAGCAGGCAGCCCCTTATTAAGGAGCTTCCTCTTTTTAAAAAAAACTTCATTTAGGGGGTGGTAAGCAGGCACCCCCTTATTAAGGAGCTTTCTCTTTTTTAAAAAAAAAAAACTTCATTTATTTTCTCTGGGATATAAATAAATGTTTCTCCTGTAGCCCTTACCATTGTGCAAATTTAGACATCCTCCCCGAATGGTGGGGAGTCTGACCTTGGCAGGAGAATGGAGCTTCCAGAGGGGAGGGCTGTGCCCTGAGAGGGACGGCACGCATCGCAGTTCTCCAGATCAGGGCAGTGCTGGGTGCAGCAGCCGTGAATCTGCGATCGATCGGGTCACAGGGGGGTTTAGAAAAGGGTGGGATCGCATGAACACATGCGTGAGCAGCATTCCTGCTTAAAAAACAGCAGCAACCACAACAAAAACGGGGCAGCAAGCATCTGGGCGGGAGGCCGTTGGTTTCTACCTGGAGAAGGTCCACACTGACTTCCCGGCCTGATGGCGGGGAGGGGGGGGGAGTGAGAATAGTGGGGGGCTGGTTTGGAGCCTGATCAGGGGGAGGGTGGGGGTGGGGGCTCTGCTCAACCTGCCTGGGCTCCTGCCCCTCCCACCTCCATCCTGAGGCGGGCGCAGGCCTGCAGAGCACAGAGGATGACACGGCAGTAGCGGGGCCAGATGAGAGCAGATGCAGCTTCGTGTTCTCTGCGCGGCCCTCTTCTGCTTGAAGGAAGATCTCTCTGAGCTGGTCACTGAACCGCACGTAGACAACTTGCAAAGAGCGTCCCACCTGCCGCCCGAGGACGTGTCTCTTGCTGTGAGCAGAATGGCGGGTATGTTCTCACGAGGGTCCCCTTGGCAAGTTGTCTGTCCTTGCAGAAGCCTGGATTTGCTTCCCTAGGTCTGCAGTTTCGCTTGCATTTAGGATAGAAATCCGTCTCCTGTTTCGTCTTCACCCTCTTAGTCGACTCTAAGGCCCCCTCCGCTTGTGCGTTGTCACTTGGCCACCCAAGACAGTGTGACCTCTGACTGGCCAGAGCTCCACCCGAGGCCCAGCAGCCTCCTGGACCGCACAGGACAGCCTCAACTAGGTAGGCGCTCCCTTCGGGCCCGCGCAGGCCTCTGCCGTTCCTATGCAGTCTTCAACCCCGTGCTGTTAGCCTTGCAGGACAACCACTGTCCTTCCATTCGTAGGAGATAAAATTGGAGCTAAGCAAGCAGTGAAGTCAATAGTAGAGCTGAGTGAAACCCAGGTCTGACACTAAAGCTCCCTCCACCACCATTCTGCCTCTCTGAGTGGACAGCCAGCTTCTTTGTTAACATATGTTTCTATTGATTTTTTAGAGAGAGAGGAAGAGTGTGTGTGTGTGGGAGAGAGAGAGAGAGAGAGAGAGAGAGAGAGAGAGATGAATTGGTTTCCTCCCGTACGCACCCAGATCGGGGAGTGAACCTGTAACCTGGGCCTGTGCCTGACGGGAATTGAACCGGTGTCCTTTTGGTCTATGGGACGATGCTCAACCAACTGAGCCACACCAGCCAGAGCCAACTTCTGTTATTTCTGTTTCTTATTGTTAACCGCTCCTTTCCCCCGCTTGTCACTGCCACGTGGACCATCTCCAGCAGCCAGCCATGTAATGGGAAGAAAACTTTCTCCCTAATTCTTACTTCAATCACTCATTAATGAGTAGCATTTAAAGTTTGGGGTTTCTTTTTTTAAGATGGTTGCTTTGCTCTAACCTCAGTTGGAATTTGGAGGCCCCATTTCACACTAATTCACAGCCATTTTGGTGGAACTTTTCCGTTACAAAGTGTGCCCCGATTCCATCTGGAAAGTAGCCCTATAAAGTGGGAAAATGTCATGTTATGTCATACCCATTTTACTGATGGGAAAATTGAGGTTCGGGATGTTGGGAACTTGCGTTGGCTCTTGTAATCCAGCCTTCAGCATCCAGCAGAAGGCCAGGCATCGGGGGTCCTGTCCAAGGCCCCCTCTCACATCAGCTCATTGTGTGCCAGGCACCCCAGGAGCTGGGAGGAGGCAAAGCTGCGACAAGAAGTCCAGGTTCCGTCTCCTAGCCCAGCACCGGCTTGTCTCTTGGTTACCCTCCGTGTGGTGAAGAAAGATGGAGGATGTCCAAGAGAAGCTTCCGGTCCCCACGGTAGCTTTAGCCATCACTACAGCTCACCCTGATTTGCAGTCCTGGTGGGGAACGGAAACCATTGCTGTGCACATCACATGGGAGGGTGTCTTCAGCTTATGTACCGTGGATTTGGGGCTCCTTCCAGTTTTCTCTCCCTGAACCCTCTGGACCACTGATCGGGAATGGTTTCCTCCCCTTGGTGGGAGCGCCTGGCAGCCTAGGGCCCCGCAGAGAAGATGCGAGATACCCGGGGGGCCGGGAGGTCCGAGGGAGGGGTCCAAGCAGAGGTGACCGGGAGAGAGAGGAAGCAGCTTCCAGGCTTCCGGGAGAGACACTGGCCAGAGTGAGGGAGTGACGGAGACTCGGGGTGGGCAGGGCCCCCTTTGCCCCTTCTTCCACATTCTCATCCATCACAACATTCAGAGTGGAGACCACGGCATCTCCATGTTGAATAGTTATGCGTATGTTCTGTTTTCAAAAGGAACTAGGGAACGTAGCCAAAGAGAGTTTCCCGGCTGGTGGAGGGGAAATAAACGCTGTGTCATTGTCGGTGGGTGAAGGTCACAGGTTACGATTTTGGCCTCAGTTGGGGTTTCTACCATTTGGAGTTGGAGGAGGTCCTTCACCCGGCTTCCCCGCCCGCCCATTGCACCAGACGGCTGGGAATTCTCCAGAAATCAGCCAACCACACGGCCCTCAGGTGCGTGTTTGTAGGTGTATATAATGACACCTGGGTGTGCCTAGACGCTGTACCTCTGACTCCTCCATCTGATGGGGAGTCTCTGCGGCACAGGAAGTGGCCTTGCCCAATGTGACCTACTTGTTAGGACAAATGTAGGGACAGATCCCCGCTGAGTCCCAGGACCCAGCATCACACGTGGCAGCCAGCCCTGTGCTCTGAGACGTGGTGAGATGGAAAGCCTCCAGGATTGTGGCTGAAACGGACATTTCTGATCCACTTTCTCGGATTTGGTCCATGGAAGCCCAGGCGTGCCCTCCTTTTCAACACCAACAGCTCAGGGCGTGTCTGGGATCCCCAAGATGATGGAAAATGCCCTCCATTTTGAGATAATGTCTTCTGAAAAACTCCTAAGTGGGAGCCATTGCAATATTCATATTTTTGTAATGTTTTAGTAATGTTTGCATTAAAAACACATAGACCCGTGCTAGAAACATTTAGTCAGTAATGTGTTCAAGGAAAATTTGTGTGTACTTTTATGTTATCTGCTGCTCGGAGACATTTATTGTTTCTTGGTGGTGGAAATAACGAATAGGACAGTTTCCGGAAAACATGTGCCCAGGGATGTAGAACGTCTGGGCGGCCCGGCCCTCTGACCTGAATGAAGCAGGCTGCCTCCTGTTTCCTGTGGATTTCTCCAGCTCCAGCCTGCAAACCATATTAAGTTTCAGACCAAATCTTGTTTGTGCCACTTTTCGCAACAGCTGCAGTGCGGAAGGAAACTGTGTTCCTTTATTGTAGAATTTGAACTTCTTAACAAAAAATATCACCCTTAGGGCCCCCAGATTGATAACAAATGGACAAAGGAACGTATTAAAGACTCACAATTCAAGAGGCAAATCAGCTTGTTTTGGGAGGTTCTTTGATGGAATTATCATGAGAGGAAAAAAGAAGAATAGTATTGTTTTTGCTTACAGGCTTCTCAAAATTTTAAAGAACAACAACAACAAAAACAGGAGTCTGTATAGCAGAGGTCCCTTAGCTGTGTGTCCTTCCAGTTACGCCTGAGGGTGTCCCCTGTGGGAGAAAGCTGGAGAGGGGATTCGTGCAGGAAGTGGCCACCGACCTGCTGGACTGCCCCCCCCCACGCCCACTTCTCTGGCTCAGGAACACTGGGCGGCGCTGCGGCTCCAGCCCTACCCACGACCTCCTCTTCTTCATGTGCCAAACGGGTATCGAACACCCAATTTATCTTAAAGGCTTGTTCTGGGATACAAACGAGGCCATGGCTGTGGTTGCCCTTTGAAGAGTAGGGGCCAGGGGTCCTCGCATCCACCTGTACATTAGAACCTTCTGGGGAGCTTTGAAAAGTGTTGACTGCCCCAGAAGTTCTGATTTTGTGTTCTGGAGTGGGCCCTGGGCATGAGTGGTTTTAGAAGTGCCCGGCGACATCCCTGCGCCGCGAGGGCTAAGACGCACTGGCGCCGAGTGGACACATGAGGAGGGCATGTACGGGCGTGATGAGCTATGGACGCGGAGTAAGGTGGATGGGGCCCTGGGCTTGTAGTTTTTATATTTTACTAGAGGCCCGGTGCATGAAAATTCATGCACTGGAGGGGGGAACCCTCAGCTCTGCCTGCCCCCTCCCACAGTCTGGGAGCCCTCAGGGGCGGGAGGCGACCGGCAATCAGGGGAAGGCGACACCCATCACACCTCTGCTGCTGCCACTGCCGGCAGCGCAAGCTTCAGCCGACCCTGGTTACCTGAGCCTCGGGGGGCCCTGGGCAGCTGGGGGGGCTGAGGGGACTGGGTGCTGCCATCTTGTGGCTGTGGCGCTGCCATCTTTGAGGGCGGGACAGTCAATTAGCATATTCCCTCCTTTTTGGCTGTGGGCACTGCCATCTTTGCGGCAGCGTGAGGGTCAATTAGCATATTCCCTCTTTATTAGATAGGATGATGGCAAAAAGGCTGAAATCAGCAGGGTCTGTGGATGTGGTTGAAGCCGTGTTTGTGATGTTAATGGCTGAAAGCAGTCCCAGCCCCAGCCAGGAAGCAGGTGCTCTGTAACAGATGAAAAGGAGCTGAAGAACATCAGAAACGTACCCAACAGCAACAGCTGCTCTTCAGGAGCCCGCATTGGTGGGATCTGTTTCCTCCCGCCCACCCTTCACATGACGGACATTCCTCGCTGTTGTTTTGCAGTGACTCTGGACGCGGGAGCAGCCTCTTAGATAGAACCATTGCGGACAGGCGGCAGCTCAATACGATCACCTTGCCAGACTTCAGCGACCCGGAGACAGGTGAGAATGAAGAGCCGGCGGGGGCGGAATGGTGCCAACGCCGAGGGACGGGGATGAGGACGGCCGCCGGGGCTGGGAGCACAGCTCACACAAGTCGGTTAAACTCAACCGAGGTGCCTTTTCCCCGTGTCCTTTCCAAGTGTGTGCACCGTGGGGAAGTCGTGCTACATGGCCAGCACATCGCTGAGGGCTGTCTATTTCTTCCCCTTGCTCTTGGAGCCTAAAATTCGAAACTAAAATTAGATTGTTCCCTTCTCCACAGCTTCCCCTCTGCTTTCCCGTTTCTGCCTCTTGCTTTAGATTGCAGACCTTGCTGAAACCCAGGTTTTGCTTTCTAATCAGTTGCACATGTGAACACACTTACATCCAGCACAAGAGCCTGTAGGAGGCGGGGGGTCGGGGGGCTCTGAGCTCTGATTCCACCGTCCCACGTGGAGGCCCGCAGCACGCGCCGCCTCTGAGAGATGTCTGTGCCTCCCTCTCATTGGCCTTTCCCCATCCCCCTAAGTACAGAGGAGTAAATAGTCCCCTGTCATTGCCAACACTCCCAACAAGCAATTCTAATAGTAATTCCTACTGTTCAGTGGCAATTTGGAGGACTCGACAGACCCACAACATATACAGAAGTTCCCTCTGCTTTGAGCCTCAAGGAGTTCCAGAGCATCACTCGGAACCTGGCTCTGCTGCTGCTCCGCTGCCCCGGGGCTTGTGTGAGGCCAGTCCCGGGCTGGGTGTGCCTGCTCTTCATGGGCTGGCTTTTGGAGAGGAGCCTCCAGGTTCTTCTGCCCCAGGCCAGGCCCCAGCTCCTGAGCAAGCCCCCCCAGAGGAAGCGAGGGAGCAGGCCTGAGGCACACACAGCCGGCTCCTGGCAGGCTCTCCTCCGTCAGGATGGGAGGGATAGGGCCTCTGGCAGCCAACTGTGGTACCCACCCAAGCCCGGCGGCGTCGCAGCGGCCGGGAGGCTGTGTCCCTGTGCTGGGCTCCCTGTAACCAAGTTGAAAATCAGCTTGGGAAGTCCCATCCCAGGGCCCTAGGTCAGAAGGACATCGGGCCTTGGAAGCAGCCTGAATTGCACACTAGTGCATTTAACATTTAACATCTCGCAGCCACTGCGCCAAATGCAGACTGACAAGCCGCACTCCGCCTCCCCCTGCGATGGTCCCGCCGGACTGATCTGCAGGCCTTACTGGGTGTAGACTACAACCCAGGCAGAGACTCTGACTCAGACCAGTCCAGTCCTGCTAGAGGGACTCTAACCCCCTCGTCCTAGAGTTGGAAGGTCGGCTCTCAGGACCAGGCTGTCTTCCTCCTGGGCCCCTTCCCCAGGAGCCTGCGAGGACAGTCGTACTCAGACCCCTTTACCTCCGGGGTCTCGCTGTTCTAAATCCCTGACTTAAAGGGCACGAGCATCCGCCACAAGCAAAGCCGTACCTGTTGGCATCGGCAAGGGCATGTGGCCAGTGGACGTGTGAACTTCCACCTCACGGTCCTGCCGATGCTGCGCCGCCCACTGCACTCGACTCCTTTGTGAAGCCACGGGCACGCTTATATCCCTTGTTTTTCTGTTCCAGAACTAAAATTCACTCCCTGTTTGTTTTTTATCTTCTCCTGTGGAAGATATTCAGATACACCAAGCTACAATATAACATAATGAATCCCCATGTGTCTGCTGCCGGCCTTCAGGAACTAGTGTTCTTTTTCCAGCCATCTCTCCCGCCCCACACTCAGGTTTTGTAGAGTATTTTAAAGCAAAGCCCAGACATCATATTTCACCTGTTAAAATGTCAGTGTATATGTCAAACGGATAAGAACCTTTAAAAAGTATTAGCACAACACCATTGCTATACACCTAGGTCATTACACAGTACAGGCTCGGGGTGCTTGGTTTGGGGAGTGGTTAGTTACTTAGAGCATGGGTTTCCACCTCTGAAATTGTCCATACACAGATCTGTGGAGTCCCATTAGGGGAACCCATGTCTAGAAGCTTTGGACTGACTGTGGGTTTTATTAAATGGATGTGGCAAATTAAAAAGCCCTCCTCCCTAAAGACCATGTTTTCCCACCTAACATCACCTCTGGCCCTCCCGCCCACCCCCCCCCCCCCCCCCGCCACCCCCCGGTCATCAAATGGTCCCAGCCATGGAGAGAGGAATCCAGTGGGGTGACAGTTGTAACTCTGAAGCTGCAAATCACTATCTTTTCTTTGGAACAAATCGGTAGTTCCTTAACTAGAGGGTGAAAAAAAAGCGTTTTCTTCCCTTGGCCTCCAAAACAGGATGCAGTTAAAAGAATGATTTTGCTGTGGCGAGGTGTTGGGTTATATTAAAGGTAAAGCCCCTGCTCCAGTGCCCAGCGCACAGCCACCGGGCCAGCTTAGAGAGCTGGCGCCCCACTGCCCCGGGCTGAGACCTGACACGTCCTGTACCTCAGTATCCGCACCTGGGAAAACAGAAATACAGTCAAACCTCATTTCTGGAACATCTCCCATCTCGTGCAATTTGGTTCTCCACCAAGTCGCTCACAAAAAACATGTCTGGGTTATTGAACCAAACTTCAATTTTCAAACTGACAACCCTTTCAGACTGATACCCTAGCATGACAAAAAAGCATCTCTCAGCCAACAAACAAAGGAGAGGATGCTTTTGTGGCTGGCGGAATCAATGATTAGCACAACTTAAAAACACATCGGCCATCGGGAGTGCTAATATTGCTAAGGGTGTGAAAGAAACAATGATCACAGGCAACTGAAGAGGTGGGAAAACCGCTGCTGATTGGATAAACGAAAGCGGTTAGCCGCTGACCGCATTTTGGATGCAGTGGTACGAGTATGTGAACAAGCAAAGATGCTGCAGGCTGACCTGAAGGACACCCCTGGAATGAGGCTAGGAGGGGGTGGCTTGATAAATTTTAGAAAAGAAGTGTTTGTTTATAGATTAAACAGTACATTAGACAGGTATTAGATATAAGAAAAGTTAAAACAGGGAATCATCTGGAGGTCTGGAACGGATTAATTCAATTCACATTGTTTCTAAGGCGGGGGCGGGGAATGATTCGGTTTTCGAACACATCGCCCCTCGAACAGCCTTCCGGAACGCATTAGGTCCGAGAACCGAGGCGCCACTGTACGCTCTGTGTAAGTGCTTCTCATAAAAAGCAAACCTAGGAAAAGTCAAGTTCTCACCCTTTACAATGGACAGGCAAATAGTTTCCCCCAGAATGCCCTGGGTGTTGTCGGTGACAGATGTGTTCTTTTCGGTGGGTCTATGGCTGAGTCGGTGCCCAGGTAAACCTGAGTGGTGTTGGCTCCATGCTGTTACTGCAGAGCAATTAAATAACCAACGGGAAACAACAGATTTGTTTTCTTCAAAAAACACTTGTATTCTGTTGTCAAGTAGAGGAATGATTGTGTATGACATGACCTCATTTTCTTTGCAGCTTATGTGAGTATATTAAAAGCGAGTTTTATTTTTTCTTTGTGTTTCTAAAGTTTTTTTGCTTTTATCCTTTTTTTTTCTCTTCACTTTTTAGTGTCAGATTCCTCCTCCTCCTCCTCTTCTCTTTCAAGAACCGAATCTCCTCTCCACCTGTTTGTATCTTCTCATCTTCATTCTCATCCCAAACCCGATACCTTTGTGTGGCCCTCAGCAGCTCACTCATTCCATGGCCCAGGTCCCCGCCAGGAACCCTCTCGGTGTAAACATGGTTTATGGCTTTTCCTTTCTTGTTAGATCTGCTTCATTTGCCTGATGTTTCATTTTCTGATAATCTTCCTAACTGATAAGCTGGATGGGAAACTCCATCAAATTTATCTGAGAGACACATCTTGCTAATTTGAAAATCCAAAAGGCCGTTTGGGGCAGGAGGAGGTACTGGTGCCCTTTCCAGCCTTCTCTGTGAAAAGTAAAGAAACCCGTTTTGAGCAGAAGAAATAGAAGCTTTTCTAGGTACTTCTGTGCTTTCCTGGCATTGATATAAGGCATTAATTGAAGTTGCAGTTTTTAAAAAGGCAAATTAGAACAATTGGCAGATAATTTATTCTACATATTTCTGGTTTTTCAATTTAGAAATTAATTCAACAAGTATGTAATAATCAAGCTAACTCTCTAAAGATAATGGTCATATGCACTTTAAATATGTGGTTCTCGAACTTTCCTGTGCATTAAGATCACACGAAGAGCTTTGAAAGCTTTGGATTAGATCCGCTGGGCCCCACCCCAGAGTGTGTAGTCCAGTGGGCCTGAGGTAGGGCCCAGGAAGCTGCATTTATAACATACCCCATATAATTCCAGGACCCATGGGTTCTGCACAGCATTTTGAAAAGCAATGCTGTAAATTATTTTCCATTTGCAGGGAAGGGAAATGTAGGGTTTATGTTGCGAAAATAGGCAGAAAAATTGAGCAGCATCTTAATCTAATCTTGCTTTTAAATAATACTGAAATTTTCAAGTCTGTTTAGGGTGTCTGGGAACCTGTCGATGAAAAGAAAAAGCCTGAATTAAATGGAATGCTGGTTGGTAAAGGCCTTAAATGGGACCTAAATATGGCTCTCACGAGGAGATCCACCCTTGTTTTCTCAGACTCATTTATTTAATGTTCACTTTACTGGGAGGGCCAGAAAAATTAATCTCTATATCCATGATTTATAAGGGCTCATCTTTGTTCCAAATGCACAGTTATATGCTGAACAAAAGCTCATAAGGGGAACTATTGCCAGAGAAAACTACTTTCTCTAATGGTCTCATCTTTTGGATGGCTAGCCTGCTTTGTTACACATGCGCGCGCGCGCACACACACACACACACACACACACACACACACACAGCCAGGACAGAAACAAGGCTGTCACCTAGAACAGTGGTTCTCAACCTTGGCTGCACAAGGGAATCTTTTTAAAATCCTGATTTCTGGGCCTCATCCTCCCGAAATTCTGTTTCTTTGTTACTAATGTTGTGACCCCACCCCATAACAAAGAAACAGAATTTCCGGAGGATGAGGCCCAG